CTGTAAGAACAGCTGCAGGTCATCCACCCAGACCTCAAAGTCAATGGCCCGACCCTCAGCGTCAAAGACTAGAACACTAGGGGTAGCCATGACCCTAGACGACTGGCAGCGCAAACAGTAGGGTGAGGGCAGTGCAGTGAAAGGGCGCTGTGCTCACCAGACTGGACAGGTCGGGCGGCCCGGAAGGAGGGCGGCGCGGCGGCTCGGCGGCTCGGCTGCCGGGCGGCTCGGCGGCTCGGCGGCTCCGCTGCTGGGCGGCACGGCTGCTGGGCGGCTCGGCTGCTGGGCGGCTCGGCTGTTGAGCGGCTCGGCTGCTGGGCGGCTCGGCTGCTCTGCTGTCGGGCGGCTCGGTTGTGCTGCTGAGGGGCAGCACGGCTCGGGCTGCTCGGGCGGTGCGGGCGGCTCGGGCGGCTCGGGCGGCTCAGCTCCTCAGCGGCACAGGCGGCGTGGGGACCGAGACGGCGGCGCGCGGCTGGGACGGGCGGCGCACGGGCGGCGTGGGGCCGGGACTGCGGTGCGCGGCCGGGACGGGCGGCTCACGGGCGGCGTGGGGCCGGGACGGACGGCGCGCGGGCGTCGAGGGGCCGGGACGGGCGGCTCACGGGCGGCGAGGGGCCGGGACGGGCGGCGCGCGGGCGTCGAGGGGCCGGGACGGGCGGCGCGCGGGCGTCGAGGGGCCGGGACGGGCGGCGCGCGGGCGTCGAGGGGCCGGGACGGGCGGCGCGCGGGCGTCTAGGGGCCGGGACGGGCGGCGCGCGGGCGTCTAGGGGCCGGGACGGGCGGCGCGCGGGCGTCTAGGGGCCGGGCCGGGTGGCGCACGGGCGTCTAGGGGCCGGGACGGGCGGCGCGCGGGCGTCTAAGGGGCCGGGACGGGCGGCGCGCGGGCGTCGAGGGGCCGGGACGGGCGGCGCGCGGGCGTCTAGGGGCCGGGACGGGCGGCGCGCGGGCGTCTAGGGGCCGGGACGGGCGGCGCGCGGGCGTCTAGGGGCCGGGCCGGGTGGCGCACGGGCGTCTAGGGGCCGGGACGGGCGGCGCGCGGGCGTCTAAGGGGCCGGGACGGGCGGCGCGCGGGCGTCTAAGGGCCGTGACGGGCGGCTAAAGGGGCCACTAGGGGCCAAGAGAGAGGGGAGCGCGACTCGGGTAGGGGCAGAGTGCGCTCCGGGCAGGAAAAAAAAAAAAAAAAAAACGGTGGGCCCTAGGAACAGTTCCCACGAGGGAACCTGCTCGATACCATGAGAAGAATGAAGAACGAGGATGGATGAACTATGAATGAGGTGAGTACATATAGAAAACCCTAATTGGGTTGTACCCCCTATGGGATACCCCACTATAGCCTACACAACAGCATAAGCTATATAATGTTCTGACAGATTACTTTCTTCCACAACGACTCATCGATTTTGTACATTCCCGAACTGACACACCCTAATCACTTGGCTCAATAAGAAACCTTTGTATCGAATAATTCGGTGTATTTACAGGTGAGATTGTCGAACAGCGAACGGGAATTTCCAGCTTCGTCGCCAAGGATGAAACGAGGCGTGCGTGTACAAGTCCTCAAAACATATGCATTCGGTGTTCCCTATTGGCTGTTTAGGGGACCAAATTGTGCAATTGCCAAAATACAGTTCAGTCTTGTACGACCAGCATGGTGTCGCGGCTTGAGATGAAACACTGTATCAATCGTATGGCTGTAACAGTCCCGATTGACGGAAACATCGCACCGCATTTCATGGGTGGAGGGGGGGAACCTTCTGCTCCGTATCTGTCGTAACAGTCCTGATTGACTGGAACAGGACAGAGCACGCCGCACCATCACACTGACTCAGTCACACATGGTGCAGCAGGTCCTTCAGCGCTTCGGCTTCACCTGGTCCTCAGCACAGCACACTCCTCTGGCTACAGGTCACTCGCTCTCAGCTCCACCTTCGGACGAGTCCGTAGAGCCGAGTGGTCCTTACCCAGAGCTAGTGGGCTGCCTCATGTACCTGATGACCTGCACTCGTCCTGACCTTGCGTACCCTCTTGGCCTTCTGGCTCGCTACGTGGCTCCTGGTCGGCACCGAAAGGTGCACATGGATGCTGCTAAGAGGGTACTACGCTACTTGTGCAGTACATCGGGCATGGGGCTCGTGCTTGGAAGACGGAGCGACGTTGTCCTCACTGGGCACTCAGACGCTTCTTGGGTTGACGACCAGGCTACGCAGCGGTCGTCACAGGGTTACACCTTCAGCCTTGGCTCTGGTTCGGTTTCTTGGCGTTCTACACGCTCGTCTTCAGTTCTCAGCTCCAGTTGTGAGGCTGAGATATACGCCACAGCCATGGCTGCACAGGAGTTACGCTGGCTCACCTACCTGCTGACCGACTTGGGAGAGCGGCCTCGTTCTCCTCCAGTGCTGTACGTCGACAACAAGGCCGCCATTGCCTTGTGTCAGGACCACAGACTGGAGCACAGAACGAAGCACATCGCTCTGCGTTACTTCCTTGCTCGAGAGATGCAGCAGCGTGGTCAGCTTCGTCTTGCTCACGTGGCCACTCGGGCCAACACTGCTGATATATTCACCAAGGCGCTTCCGTCTGGTCATCATCAGCGTTTTTGTACTCTGTTAGGCCTTGTGCCCACGTTTCCTCACTTGCTGTAGACTTTGCTTGTACTATGATCTATATATATACCTGCATGCTTGCTCTGCTAGGTAGAGATCACTGTGCTGTTGTTGTTGCATATATACCTCTGCATGTGAACTGGCCTTGTGGCCCTTTGCTTGTGCTCAGTATGTGTGGTGACGTTGTGATCCACCCTGAGCTTGCTTTGCTTCTCTTGACTGGTCTTGTGACCCCTTGCTCTCCCCCACTTTGCCTATGGGGGTGTGTCAAAGTGTATGCATGTGTCATAATAAAATGTAGGCTTTAGTGGGGTAGCTAATGTAGGGTACAGGTTTTTGTTACTTGTACCCAACTTTCTCGATAGTGCACACATCCTTTTTTCTCTCGACAGGAGCAGCAGCTGCCGCTGATCGAGTTCGCGTATAACAACGCCACGTCAGCGACGACGCAGCAGTCCCCTTTCTACCTGAACTACGGGCAAAACCCTACAGTGCCCATGATGCCGAGTCCGGACAACCCAACACCACGTGCACAACAATTTGCCGAAATTCTGCAAGCTACCCGCACCAGAGCCGCTGAAGCAATTAAAAAAGCCAATGTCATCGCTAAACGCAACGCTGACCGCCACCGCCGCCCAGTCACGTACCAGTCAGGAGACTACGTACTGCTCGACACACAGAACTTAAGACTGCCCGTCGTACCGAAATTACGACCGCGCTACTGTGGACCCTTCCAAATCAGCCACATGATCACCCCAGTGACAGCCCACCTACTGTTACCGACAGACTGGTACATCAGCCCTTCATTCCACGTCAGCCTGCTTCGTCCATACATCCCAACCACAAGCCAACTGCCTCGTCACCGCCCGCCATCCATGACTCGCCCTGCATCGGAGCCGATCATTGAGCCCGAAAAAATCCTGAGCCATCGGATTCGACACCCCACGGGAATCAAGAGGATTGAATTCCTCGTTCGCTGGAAGGACCGCACGCCAACTGAAGATAGCTGGGTGCCCCTGGCCAACATCGAAAACCACCCTGCCCTGCAAGTGTACCTGAGGAGCCGGGGTTTCCGCGATATACAGGCACTCGCGTAGCGGAGGGGGCTTCTTGAGGGGGGGGGTAGTGTAAGGAATTTTCTCGATATTCCTTAGCGCGCCCTGCAACATCGCGTACAGCAACAGCCGTTGTTCGCCCGTTACTGCTAACGGGGCTTCGCCGACTTCGCGCGCACTGTTTCACCAAACCTCGCACTGCTGGCCTGGCCGTGTCGGCCTACGCTTCGGGACTAGCCCGAGCCTCGCGTCCAGCGTAGCACTAGCTAGCTCGCACGCACCGCGTTACCGTTTGCATGTTTTCGCGTATAAATGTTCTCTCATGCCTTCGCTCACATTTTGTACTCGTTTGCCACCTTAGTGCAATTCTCGCTACTTCGATTCATTGCACCCGGAACACTGTCATATAAACGTGAATCAACTAGGTTAGGTCATAGATACATCATTTTTTTTGTCTGCATGCATACCCAATCTCTAGATGACAAGCACAAGTTCAGTGCCTGCAAAGTTGAGATTGTGTTGACATACCCAGAACCTTGCTCGTTTATGGTATGTAGAACCCCATCTACCATAGAATGCTTGTCTGCAAAATAAATTCACCCAAATTACAGGCACTTCCAACAATGCAACATGAGCATCTCAACCAACCAGACAAATCCACATCCATTGCGCACTACTTCAGAAACACTTGCACCATCCGCTAGGCAACCAAAACTGGGCAAAGTGAGTCAACCAGCTATTTCACTTTCACAATCTTCCCGCACAGTGCGAACGGGTTAATGTCGTGCCCAATCTGATAGTACGCGCCGCTGGCTAAGTCAGACGCTATCGCCGCACGGACTTCTGCCAAAGTCTTTAAACGCACTTCCATTTTCAACTTGAAGCTGTAGCGCTTATTCTGACCAGACTGGGTGATGTTAACCCACGGAAGTTGGGTCTCACCTTGAACCCCACCGTTGTTAGTGCAGGTACGCATGTTACCTGAGGCAGGTTTTTTTCCGCCAGAGGCAATCTTGAATACCTTGCAAATTAAAGCGTAAGCGTATGAAGTTGAGGAGTACCTGCCAACAGGGCATTGGGGGAGATGGTTGCGAAGGGGAGAGGGGGAAAGGAGGAATGAGGGGTTGGGATTGTGATTGCCACTGGGATGGGAAGGATGAGGGATGGAGGGGAGAAGAGCGGGGAGAAGGGAAGTGTTGGCAAAATGGGAATGGGAAGCGAAGGCGGGTGGGAATGGGTGCTGGAGCACCCACTCGAGAATAAAGGGGGGGGGGAGAAAATGCCCTGAGCGGTTATAAGGAACAACAGCAGCAGCGGATATGGGATCGCACAGGAGACGCACATCACCGACTTAGTAGCACATTTCCCGGATGCACCCTTGTCGCCGATCACTTTTCCATTCTCCTTAGGAGGATGCAACTTAACCACGTATTTGTCTGCCAATGCGAATTGCAGGGATAGGAGGCAAAGCGCATGGGACGGAAGGTGGAAGGACAACGGGTAGCAAGGAGATACAGCAGCACTGAATGAATCGGCCTGACGGCCTGACTACTAGTAGCAGCACCAAGACGACCTTGCTGCCAGCTTGAAGCACTGATGATGGCACCAGTGATGATCATGAAAGATAGGACAGTCGATCCACCCCAGGATCCTTCGAACAGGGACATGTATGCGCATAGTACATGTGGAGTGAAACTCATTTGCTGAACTTTGGATGACCGCAATTAGGTGCACCCGCATCTTGCTGCTGCTACGACGGAACACCGCGCGGAAGGCCAAATAGCGTTGCGGGACTTACCGATAACCTTCCCTTTCTTCGCCAAGGGCTTGGCGACTTGGGCGGCAGACGCGGCTGAAGCACTGCCGTCGCGTGCGAGGAGTGGCGGGAAATCTGAGGCAGACGCGGCGGCGGCAGTGAAGAACGCCGCACCTGACGGGCAAGGCAGCGCGCACGACATTGGGAAAATGAGGGAGCGTCATGGCATGATCTGCCAGAATGAGGAGGCGAGAGGCGCGACACGAACTGCCAGAAACGACAAAGCCGCGCCAAAAACGGCAGTAAGCAGCAAATGCTCCGTAAGGACAGGGGCGGAGCCGCATTGATTGATACATCATCACACGAGCCTCGTGTAAAGGGTTAGGGTTAGCCTCCGTTTTGGGTTGGCCTTTTTTATGCTGAGAATGAAGTTGAGAGGTAATATTAAGTGCTTACAGAGGAGGAGGACGAGAAGAGGTGGCGCGCGCTCCATGGTAGTACTACTAGCAGCAGAGGAAGGGAGAAAAGCTTGCACACTGAAAATGAAAACCTTGAGCTACTGGTAGAGATGACTGTATGCTGGCGAATTTACTCCTATCATTATATACTCGGAGCATCCGCCTGGGAGTCATGCTTTGTTGAGTTTCAGACGGGGTGGTAGCACCCGACCCGCCAAGGCGGCGTGATTAACTTTGCGTTGCATGGCGAGGCGAACCGCCACGGCAGTCGGTGGATCGCAGATGACATAGAGGACGGCTCGTCACAACTTTGTGGACGAGGGACGGAGCGCGATGGTTTCGTATGCTTGAAGTAAACAAAGTGAACTGAGTGGGGAACTGTACTTTCGACGTGTCGCGACGAAACCAAATCAGCCAAAGCAACTTCGAAAATATCAAAATTGCTTGGGCAGCTACTAGGCTGTCACCTTCGAAAATTTCCCCGGTGTATATTCCTCCTACCTCAATACGCAGCCAGGTGTGTGAAAATACTCCAGGGTTCTCCTTCCACTTTACCTAATGGTTGAAGGTTTGATCATCCACCAGGTTGAGCAGTTTGGTTTGCAGGTTCGGCGACACAATTCAGCTTCGGGAACCTTGAAAGATGCCAGGAACGGGACGCTGGGTTCCCATTTGACTCTAGGTCCCGAACGAAGCTGCTGAAAAGCACGCCTCGGTCGCATATAAACACGTGATCCTGTGCAGGTGCTTCCCGCCGGACTAAACAAAAGTTTAGGAGGTGCTTCACCAATCACGACTCGCGATTCGCGAATTGTAGTTCTTGGTAAACAACCAATTCAGGGCCCCTGTCAAGATGAGTTGTGGCATCCGCGTTATACCCGTCATTCGTTAGCGTCGTCGTTGTGCTGACTTGTACTTTGGTACATCCATTCCTGGACGCAAACCTTATGACGGTTTGTCAAAGCACATCTATTAATACGAGCTGACGCACTGGTGAAAGGTGGAACGACAAGAAATTACGTAATGACAATATCCTCCAGCTCGCCGCCATCGATTATATTAGGCAACTTCAGCATCGCATTCTATGAAGCACATGTATCAGTTGACTACGAACACAGCGTTTCGGTCTAATCTCGGAGTCTGTTGTTTTATCAGTCATCAAGTTTCAAGGCTTCATCATGTGATAACCGAGCTTTTGATTGGTTTCTAACAATACATTGTGCACTAGTTGACAGGAACACTTGCACCATCCGCGCATTAAGGCTAGGCAACCAAAAGTGGGCAAAGTGAGTCAACCAACTATGCCACTTTCTTAATCTTCCCGCACAGGGCGTTTTCGTTCCTGTCGTGCCCAACTACATAGTAATCGCCTAACGCCATCTGGACCCTTATGGTCTCAAGGGTTTCAGCCAAAGTCACCCGGTCAAATTTCTGGTTCAACTTGAAGCTGTAGCGTTTATTCTGACCAGCCTTGGTGACGTTAACCCACGGACCTCCGGAGCCAGCTTGAACCACGCCGCTGGCAGTGCAGGAACGCATGTTAGATGCAGCAGGATACTTCCCGCCAGAGTCTACCTTAAAGACCCTGGTAATGGAAATGATAGCGTATGAAGTTGACGAGTACCTGCCAACAAGGCATTTAGGGAGATGGTTGCGAAGGGGAGAGGGGGAGAGGAAGGGTTGGGGGTTGGGCCGGTTGTGATTGCCACTGGGATGGATGGGAAGGATGAGGAGGGATGGAGGACGGGGGGAGGAGAGCGGGGAGGGCCCCTCCGATATCAACGAAACCAGAGGGCGATGGGCGTGCATGGGACATAATTGTGACTTCCGTTCGTGACTTTTTGGAAGCACTCTGTGACTTTCTGTGTGCATTTTGTTAGAAAAACCTACGGACTTCGATTTTGGCCTCTCGCCTTTTCCGCCCCGGGGGGGAAGTGTTGGCAAAATGGGAAGACGGGTGGGATGGGTGCTGAAACCACCCACTTAAGTATAATTTGGGGGGGGGGGAGGGGGAAGTGGGGGGGAATCCTAGTCCTGAGCGGTTAAAAGGAAGACGCACAACAGCAGCAGCGGATACTAGGATCGGAAAGGAGAGGAGACGCACATCACCGCCTTAAGAATCATCTTCCCGGATGCACCTTTGTCGCCGATCGCTTTTCCACCCGACCACGGAGGATGCAACTTGGCCACATATTTGTCTGCCAATGCGAATCATGGCAGGGATAGGAGGAAAGCGCATGGCACGGAAGGTGGAAGGAGGTTATTTGGACACAGGCTGGTGTTTTTTTCGCAGCTTTTCCGCAAAAAACCCACTTAGAGACCGGTTTAGGTTCAAACCATTTCCGCGATGCTGCACTGAATGAATCGGCCTGGCGGCCTGACTAATTAGGGATGAAGCACTGATGGTGGCACCAGTTACTGGTGATGATCATGAAAGATATGACATCATGTCGATCTACTACTACCCCATGATCCTTCGAAAGGGACACGTATGCATGCACATACATGTGGAGTGAAAACCACAGGAATGAAACTCATTTGCTTGACTTTGGATGACTGCAGTTCGGTGTACCCGCATCTTAGGACACCGCGATGCAGCGGAAAGCCAAGTAGTAGCGTTGCGGACTTACCGATAACCTTCCCTTTCTGCTTCTTGGCGAATTGGCCGGCAGACGCGGCTGAAGCACTGCCGTCGCGTGCGAGGAATGGCGGGAAGATCGAGGCAGACGCGGCGGCGGCAGTGAAGAACGCCGCCGCACCTGACAGGCAAGGCAGCGCGCACAACATTGGAAAAATGAGGGAGCGTCATGACATGATCTGCCAGAGATTGAGGGGGCGAGGGGGCGAGAGGCGTGTCACGAACTGCCAGAAACGACAAAACCGCGCCAGTGGCTTCTGAGAGGGCAGCGGCGAGCCGCATTGACTGATACGTACACGAGCAGGATGTTGAAGGTAACAAATACGTGCTTACAGAGGAGGACGAAGAGAAGTGGTGGCGCGCGCTCCATGGTACTAGCAGCAGAGGAAGGGAGAAAAAGCTTGCACACTGAAAATGAAAACCTTGTGCTATTAGTAGAGTTGACCGTATGCTGGCGAAAATACTCTTATCAAAAACTCCGAGCATCCGCCTGGGACGCATGCTCGTTGAGTTTATTGATCCCAGTTTCGGACGGGTGGGACTCGCACCCGACCCGAGGTGGCGTGAGTGTGATTAACGTAGCGTCGCATGATGGCGAGGCGAGCCGCCAGGGCAGTCGGTGGATCGCGGATGACGACGGCTCGTCACAACTTGTGGACAAGGAACGGAGCGCGATGGTTTCGTATGCTTGAAGTAAACTAAGGCGTGAACCGAGTTGGGAACACTGTACTTTCGACGTGTCGCGCCGAAACCAAATCAGCCCAAGCAGCTTCGGAAATCTCGAAAGTGCTTGGGCAGCTAGGCTGTGACCTTGGAAAATCTCCCCAGTGGATATTCCTACCTCGATACCTCGATAGGGGGGTTACGACTGAAAGGGGGTTCTCCCCAATGGGGCTAAAGGGTTATGAACCCTAATGGGGATCTTCCCCCACTTTACCTAATCCTGAAGGTTGAACGTTCATCATAATCAGGTTGAGCAACTAGGTTTGCAGGTTCGGCGGCACAATTCAGCTTCGGCAATCTTGAAGGAGGTCAGGTACGGGGCACTGGTTACCCATTGACTCTCACTCTAGGGTCCCGATTCCCGAACGCATCTGGTGGAAGGCGCGCCTCGGTCGCAATCTCAACCATGAACTCCCCTACTTGAGACCACCACGTGCTCATCCTGTGCTGGTGCTCGCCGCCGGACTAAACAAAAGTTTAGGGAGGTCCAGCGCGTACGTTTTCCGTACATTACAGTTGATCCAGTGCGTTAAAGCCCGAGTACCACATGGCTGTTTTCATATTCAAGATTCTTGAATATGAATTCGCCAAAAACCAAGTTACCACCAGAATTCACCCATTCTCTCACGAAAGTGATCCGTGATTGGCCAGCGACACTCTTCGGTCTTACCGAGCGGAGTGTCAGCTGGCAAGGCAGCACTGTTCACTTGAAGTGAACTTGAAAACCATCTGGTACTAAATGCACGTCATCCTATACCTAGTTCACCCGCTATTCATGCCCAAGGGATCACTCCCCATCTCTTTTTCTGCCAGTGATTTATGAATAAACGAAATAGAGTTGCTTCGTAAAACATGCTCGCTGGTCACATAGGGTTCCCCCGTCGCCTTCGCCTGCACACGACGCCTGAAGGTTCCTTCGCTCCTGGTAGTTGCTTCCGTGATTAGCCCACGCTTCCTTACGTCACGCTGGCTTCCTTACGTCGCCCACGCGTCCTTACGTCGCCCACGCGTCCTTACGTCGTCCACGCGTCCTTACGTCGCCCACGCGACCTTACGTCGCCCACGTTTCCAAACGTCACTCCCGTTTCCTTCCGTCGCACACGCTTCCGCTCGTCTTTCCCTTCCATTCGCCGCCCGCCCTTCCGCCCATCGCCTTCCATCCGCTCGTCGCCCACCCTTTTGCCCGTCGCCCTCCCATCCGCGCGTTGTATCTCCCATCCGCGCGTCGCCCTCCCTTCCGCCCGTCGCCCTCCCTTCCGCCCGTCGCCCTCCCTTCCGCCCGTCGCCCTCCCTTCCGCCCGTCGCCCTCACTTCCGCCCGTCGCCCTCCCTGGCGCACGTCACCCTCCCTTCTGCGCGTCGCCCTCCCATCCGCCAGTCGCCCTCCCTACCGCCCGTCGCCCTCCCATCCAAGCGTCGCCCTCCCTTCCGCCTCTCCCTTCCGCCTGTCGACCTCCCTTCCGCCCTGCCATCCAGGCCGCGTCGCCATCGCCATCCCTCCCGTCTCCCTTCCCATCGCGCACACTGGTCACCCTCCCTTTTCTACCCCTACACACGCCCTTCCCTCCCCCCAATAATCACACTTCTCCCCCCCACCACTCTCGTCTCCCACACTCTCCCCATCCCCTTCCATGCCGCCTCCAATCCCCTTCCCTGCTTTCCCCCCTCCCCTTCCCTCCTTCCCCCCATCCCCTTCCCTGCTACCCCATGTCCCCTTCCCTGCTTCCTCCCATCCCCTTCCCTGCTACCCCATGTCCCCTTCTCTGCTTCCCCCCATCCCCTTCCCTGCTTCCCCCCGTCCCCTTCCCTGCTTTCCCCCATCCCCTTCACTGCTTCCCCCCATCCCCTTCCCTGCTTCCCCCCATCACCTTCTCTGCTTCCCCCCATCCCCTTCTCTGCTTCCCCCCATCCCCTTCTCTGCTTCCCCCCATCCCCTTCTCTGCTTCCCCCCATCCCCTTCCCTGCTTCCCCATGTCCCCTTCCCTGCTTCCTCGTGTCCCCTTCCCTGCTTCCCCATGTCCCCTTCCCTGCTTCCCCCCATCCCCTTCCCTGCTTCCCCCCATCCCCTTCCATGCTTCCCCGTGTCCCCTTCCCTGCTTGGCCCCATCCCCTTCCCTGCTTCCCCGTGTCCCCTTCCCTGCTTCCCCCATCCCCTTCCCTGCTTCCCCGTGTCCCCTTCCCTGCTTGGCCCCGTCCCCTTCCCTGCTTCCCCGTGTCCCCTTCCCTGCTTCCCCGTGTCCCCTTCCCTGCTTCCCCCATCCCCTTCCCTGATTTCCCGTGTCCCCTTCCCTTCTTCCCCCTATCCCTTTCCCTGATTCACTTCCTCCCACTCCCTGCTTCCCCATGTCCCCTTCCCTGCTTCCCCCCATCCCCTTCCCTGCTTCCCCGTGTCCCCTTCCATGCTTCCCCATGTCCCCTTACCTGCTTCCCCATGTCGCCTTCCCTGCTTCCCCATGTCCCCTTCCCTGCTTCCCCCCATCCCCTTTCCTGCTTCCCCCCATCCCCTTCCCTGCTTCCTCGTGTCCCCTTCCATGCTTCCCCATGTCCCCTTCCCTGCTTCCCCCCATCCCCTTTCCTGCTTCCCCCCATCCCCTTCCCTGCTTCCTCGTGTCCCCTTCCATGCTTCCCCATGTCCCCTTCCCTGCTTCCCCCCATCCTCTTCCCTGATTCCCCATGTACCCTTCCCTGCTTCCCCCCATCCCTTTCCTTGCTGCCCCATGTCCCCTTCCCTGCTTCCCCCCATCCCCTTCCCTGTTTCCCCACGTCCCCTTCTCTTCTTCCCCCCATCCCCTTCTCCGCTTCACCATGTCCCCTTCCCTGATTCCCCATGTCCCCTTCTCTGCTTCCCCCCATCCCCTGCCATGCTTCACCATGTCCCCTTCCCTGATTCCCCATGTCCCCTTCCCTGCTTCCCCCCATCCCCTGCCATGCTTCACCATGTCCCCTTCCTTGATTCCCCATGTACCCTTCCCTGCTTCCCCCCATCCTCTTCCCTGATTCTCCATGTCCCCTTCCCTGCTTCCCCCCATCCCCTTCCCTGCTGCCCCACGTCCCCTTCCCTGCTTCCCCCCATCCCTTTCCCTGCTTCCCCACGTCCCCTTCCCTGCTTCCCCCCATCCACTTCCCTGATTCCCCATGTCCCCTTCATTGCTTTCCCCCATCCCCTTCCCTGCTTCCCCCCACCCCCTTCCCTGCTTCCCCCCATCCCCTTCTCTGCTTCCCCATGTCCCCTTCCCTGCTTCCCCATGTCCCCTTCTCTGCTTCCCCCATCCCCTTCCCTGATTTCCCGTGTCCCCTTCCCTGCTTCCCCCCATCCCTTTCCCTGATTCACCCCATCCCCCTCCCTGCTTCCCCCCATCCCTTTCCCTGCTTTCCCCCATCCCCCTTCCTGTCGCATTGGGGATACCGTGCAACTCCCCGATGGCACTCGGCTTCAGCGGCGGTTCCAAACAACCTGCTTGCCACCCATCCCACGCCTGGGAACTTTCCTTCCTGCCATGCGCATCCCCTTGCTCTCCCGCTCACTCCCTAATTCTCCCTCCCCCCACTCCCCACCCCTCCAGATGCACGAAAGCAGATCTACGACTTCATCCGCCCCGAGGCTGGCCCCGTTACGCGCACCGCCACGCAGCAGTGCTGGTGCTGTACCAGCCTCCTCTCGAGACTGCCTTCAGCCTCACCCCTTGCCCCATACCCTCTGCCGACCTGCGCCCTATAAGGCCCTGCACTAGCTGTTGCCTTGGCCCCTGCGTGTAAGGAGGGCTTGGGAAGGAGATGCCTGGCAGCCAACAACAAGTCAGGCAACTGTGCACGACATGTCGCTGCGTGCTGCACATTGCACTGGTTGCGAGTTGTGATGAGAGCAGTCTGTAGCCTGCCAGCGTGCCAGAGGCACTCTGGCAGCTCCCTAGGGATGCTTCCCTAGGTACCTGAATAATACAGGGTTAGCTGGGGAAGGAAATCGACTGGTGGGTCGTGCCTTGTATTGTGCAGGAGTTATCGGCTGATTTGGGTTTACCTCCGATGATACTATGTACGATGTACTATGTACCGAATGCCATATCTCTGTGTGGACCCAAGCTCCCAGCAATAATAAGAGATGAAGAAATGCACTGTTAGCCGCTTTGTAAGATATCTCCCCTACCAAACATGCACAATATAGCCAACCCCTGGCTTAGGGTCCAACAATCGGCAAAGTATAAAGGCGTGTCATACATGGTGAGTACACAGCTCATGGCAGACTGTTCAGGCTCGTCATTATAAAGCGCACAACATCGTAGTCAGTCGCTGTGAACGAACTGTAAGTTCGCCAAGCATGACACCCCCTTAGAGGAACAACTTGCTGTTGCCAATAAACGGCCAGCTTCGCTTTCTCCTCTCACCCCCTCTTCTCTCCAAAATCATGGTCCATTGTCGCACTGCTGGGTGACGAAAGCCCAAACTCGTCGCAGCGTGATTTGGGTTTCGCTCCACCCCTCTTCCCGAAATGCACTGTTTTTGTATTCGCATACACGATTAAAGCCCTTCTGCAATTTTAGCCCTTCTGTATTGCGTCAAGGTTCATAACAGTGCAATTTTAGAACCGCTGTGCACCGCCTGATATCTTTTCAAACCACGACGAATGAACTGTATAGGACCTGTCAACGTACGCGCTGGACCCGCCCTTAGGAATCGCAGTGGTGCTTCACCAATCACGACTCACGATTCGCGATTAGTATTTGTTAGTCTAAAAACTTTCAGTGCTAGGGCAGAAACTAAATTGACGGAATCGTTTTTGAAGCCGTTTGTAAAGATCGTCCGTCACGATCGTGTTCCTGGCCCCTGTCAAGATAAGTTCTGTCATCCGCGTTCAGCCCGTCATTCGTTAGCGTGGTAAGTGAGTTTCCCATTAAATGCAAGGGAAATAAGTGGGTTTGTAAGTGGGCAAGTGGTAAAACTGTCAAAATATCAACGGCTCGATTAAAAAAACGAGTGTAAGCTGGGTGTCGTTGCCTGTGTTGAGTTGCAAAAGGAGCAGGATAAAAGTGGATGGCGGTTGGGCATCGAATGTACAGCAAAGTACAAGACTTCTAGTTTACTTGCAGCATGTACCACCATGTTCTTACCAGCATGTAAGCATCTCCCATGCACGCAACACCACGAAACTGCGTAGACTGCATCATTTCCTAATAACCACACTTCCCTTCCCCCCACGCAACTCAGCCACCTCTGAACGACCTTAACTCCCTCATGAATCACACATCCTCCTCTAATAGCGTCCTCAACGCCCGCGTCACATCATTCACATCTACACCTCCCTTATCATTCGGCTCTATTCTCATATACCGCAACCCGCGGTGATTCGCAAGCAGTTGGTAATGATCCCTCGCATCTGCCATCGGCCGTAGCTCCACGAGAGCCGATCCCGGGCGCATGTACATGACATGAGTGAGACCGGCCCCGTGCGCACCCACAATCACATCAGCCCAGTATACTGCTTCCATCTGCTGCCGGAAGGACCAGGCTGTCATGGTGCCGTTGAGAATAAAGACGAGGCGTGGCACGGGACCCGCTGCTGCTGCTGCTGTTGATGATTCCGCTTCTGCTGCTCGCGCCTCGTTCCCTCCTGCCTGTAGCCCCTCCTGCTGCTTCTGTTGGTGGGGGTTGGAGATCAAATCTGGGTTGAGCCAATCGCTGTGACGCATTTGCAGCTGCCTCCTGTTCGGCTTGCTCGATGGCTTGCCTCTGCCGCCACCCAACCTATCCTGCCACTTCTTCTCTTTCCTGCTGCTCCGTCTGTGCCTCTTCTTCCTGCCCACTCCTCCTCCTTCCCACCCCTGTTGCTGATCTCTTCTCCTTCTAGCAGCAGCAGCAGCAGCAGCTGCAGAAGCAGCAGCAGATGCAGAATCACCCGGAATAACAGGCCCAACAACAGAAACCGGATCACCCGAAGGACCTCCCTCCCTTCCCCTCCTCCTCCCCCCACCCTTCCCTCCTCCTCTCACCCCCAAGCTCCCCACCGCCCCTCCCGCCCTCCCACCCCCCCCATTCATCCCCCACCAATTCCCCCCACCCACCACGGATCCCATCCTGTCCACCCTCTCTGCTGCATCCAGCAGTCTCAGCCCGCCGCGCTCCCACGCCCACTGCTTGAGCGACCGTACGAGGTCGTTCACGCCCTCCACCCGCTCCTCCACCCACCCGTTGTCCTCCATGCGCGGGTGCGCCAGGAAGAAGTCTCGCCGGATTACGAGCACACGCACGGGCCGGCTCCAAGCGGTTTGCTCTAAGAGGTCGATAGATACAAGTTGTTGCTCTTCTCCTTGCTGCTGCTGCTGCTGCTGCTGCTGCTGCTGCTGATGCTGCTGCTGCTGCTGATCGTGTTGCTCAAGAATTTTCCGGAGACCTGCCTGTTGCTGCTGCTCCTGCTCCTGTGGTTTCCCCTGCTTCTCCTGCTTCTCCTGCTTCTCCTGCTCCCGCTGCTGCTGCTGCCACCACGGCTGCGTCCTTTGCTTCTCCTCCCACAGTTGCTCCACCTGTCTGTCCTCCTCCCTCTCTCCCTCCTTCCCCCCTTCCAATCTCCATAACAAGTGCCGCCCCCGTTGCCCTCCCTCCTCCTGCCCCTGCTGCCCCTGCTGCTGCGGGGCTGGATTGCCCTCACCCAACTTCCCCCAGTCTACTAAAGGGAAATACCCCAGTTTGCTGACCACAGACGGCCCTGCCGCTGCTCTATCCCTCCACCACAAGAACTCCATGCGAGTCAAACCAGCAGCAGCAGCAGAAGCAGAAGCAGCGCCACCACCAGCACCACCGGTCGCAGTATCAGGGTCACGGGGGTTCGAGTCATGGTCAGCAAGCGTCCCGTTTTGTTGGCGGTGCGAGGGGAGGAAGCGAGGCGGCGGAGCAGGGAGCAGGGGGAAGGACCAGGGGCCGGTGTGCAGGCCGATGCCGTGGGACTTGATGACAAACTCGGCGAATTCTGTGATGCGCGATGTGGATCCGAATGGTGTTACGCCCCACTCGCTGCCTCCCTGCACTGCTGTGTCCGCCACACACCTGGTGAGAGGGATAGCGGGAGAGGGGAAGCAGGGGAGTGGAGGGGAAGACAAGGAGAAGGGGAGTGGGAGAGGCGGTGAAAGGAGGAGAGGTTGAAGAGGAAAAGCGGGGGAGCACTGCTGCTGTTGGGGGAGGCCCACTCGCTGCCGCCACACACCTGGGGGTGAGAGGGGGTTGGCGGGAAGAGGGGAGGCAAGGGAGAGAGGAGGGAAGATAGATTGAATGAGCGCCCATCCCTTCAGTTCCTCACGTTTCCACACCCAAGACTCAATCGAAAGAAACTGGTGATCGGTGCTGCACACTACTGAGAACAGGTCCTCATCTTTGAAACACGGGCACAAACGCGCCTCGTACCACGGCAAGCCAGTCTCTCTCTGATACTCTGTCTCAGCGCATGTGTCAGCGCAACGCACCTCCTCACAGGCACGGCCTCCTTGACATAGGAGTGGAAGATGGGCGTAGCATATCCCACGGGCACAAAGACAGCGTTGTGGAAGCACACCGCTGTGCCGGGAGGCAGGTGCTGCTGATACTCCTTGATGAAGCGGTACGGCCCGAACATTGTCGCCCACGCCTCGTCTAGGTTGCCCTGTTGAAACACGGGTGGAGAGAGAGGAGGGGAGGAGGGGATGGGGGGGGGATGGTGAAGCGCGGGGAAGGTGCTGCTGGTACTCCTTGATGAATACGGGGAAGAAGAGAGGTAGGTACTTAGGGAAGAGAGTGCAGAGCCGGGAGGCAGCTGGTGCGCTGTCGATACTCCTTGATGAATCAGTATGGGCCGAACATTGTCGCCCACGCCTCATCTAGGTTGCCCTGTTGGAAGAATGGCATAAGGGGAAGAGGAGGGGCAGGGAGGGTTTGGGAAAGGGAGCGGGTAGCCGGGAGGCAGGTGCTGTTGATACTCCTTGATGAATCGATACGGGCCGAACATTGTCGCCCACGCCTCGTCTAGATTGCCCTGTTCACAGAACGACATGAGGAGAAGAGGGTGGGGTGGGAGCGTTTGGGAAAGGGGAGCAGGTGCTGCTGATACTCCTTGATGGAGCGATACGGGCCGAACAACGTTGCCCACCCTCCGCACCCCTCCCCACCCTCACACACCTTGGCATGTGCGTCGAGGAAGACGACGAGCGGCCGCACGGAGATGTGCAGCAGGCGCATGGCTTGAAAGGCGCTCTGCCAGTCCGTGCTGGTGTGGTACAGGTTCACGTATTCGTAGCGTGTCACCAGCAGCACTGGCCGTTGCTCCACCTGATAGGGGGTGGTGTGTGCATGGGGAGGAAGGGAGGGACGTGGATGACTGACGGCCTGCCACTGAGCCAGTCCGTGCTCGTGTGGTACAGGTTCACGTACTCGTAGCGCGTTACTAGCAGCACTGGCCGTTGCTCCACCTGCAGTGGGGGGTGCGGTGCGGTGCGGTGAATGTGGTGTGGTGTGGGCATAGGGAGGAGGAGAGAGTGGTGGGTAACTGATAACACGCAACTCTGCCAGTCCATGCTCGTGTGGTACAGGTTCAAGTACTCGTACCGTGTTACAAGCAGCACTGGCCGTTGCTCCACCTGCAAGGTGGTGGGGTGGGGTGGGGTGGGGTGGGGTGGGGTGGGGTGTTGTGTGGTGCAGAGTGTTGGAGGCACAAGGGATGAGGAGACAGAAGGTGTGATGTGGTGTGGTGTGAGTGTAGGGAGGACGGGAGAGAGGTGTTGTGACTGACGGCCTGACAATGAGCCAGTTCGTGCGAAGGGCAGAGGCAAAGGCAGAGGCAGAGGCAGAGGCAGAGGCAGAGGCAGAGGCAGAGGCAGAAGCAGAGGCAGAGGCAGAGGCAGAAGCAGAGGCAGAGGCAGAGGCAGAGGCAGAGAGGATGGGAATCCAAAGCTGGCTATATCCCGATTCACATTTTAGGGTTCTCAAGGAACGCACACGACTAAACACAACACGACTCGCCGCATTTGACTTGATCAGCAGTGCGCACGCTCCTCAGCAACTCCCATGTGCTGAATCGACTCGAAACCAATCTGAGTCACCATATCTCAAGAGATTTGCAATGCACACGTACACGCACATGCATACGCACGAGCATGCACTCACCACACCGCACTTGATCCGATCAGCAGTGCGCAAGCTTCTCAGCAGGTCCCGTGTGTTGCCATGCTCGTTCACCAGCTCCTCTATCCATGCCGGCGCTACTCCCACCGCCAACGCCCTACCGCCCTCCCCTGCTGCGTTCCCCCCGTCTCCCTTCCGACCTCCCCCCTGGCCCCCCTCCGCTCCCCCGCTTCCCCCCACCCCTCCCGTCTCGCGCAAACCGCGTCTCTTCCCTCCCACTCTCCCTCCCCCTCCGCCTCCCCCACCCCCTCCCCCACCCCCTCCCTCTCCGCCTCCCCGTCCCCCTCCTCCTCCCCCATCCCCCGCACCTCTCTCTCCCACCACGCCCTGCACCACTTCAAGCAGCACCTGGAACGCCCCTTCCTCACACATGGGGTATTCCTCCTCCTCCACACGCCCCATCACACTCCGCACCTCCTCCCCCCCACGCGCCATGAGCAGCTTATCCGGGAACACGGCCAGCATGCCTGCCTCGCACACGGACGAGTCGAGAGTCGGGTTGCGTATGCACCGCAACCATCCGTCCCCTCCGTTCTCCTCGTTTCCCCCGGCTACCCATATCTCTCCGCTCTCCCCTCCCTTCCCTCTCTCTCCCCCCTCCCCTCCCTCTTCCCCCCCTCCTGACCCCCCTCCTGCGCCTCCTCCTGCCCTGTCACTCCCCCCACCCGCATTCCCCCCCATCCCCGTTCCCCCCATCCCCGTTCCCCCCATCCCCGTTCCCCCCATCCCCGTTCCCCCCATCCCCACTGCCCCCATCCCACGGTGCATGCGGGAAGGGGCCCACAGGGGGCGTGCCTAGCAATGTGTGCACCTCCGAAAACCCGTCCCCCCAGAAATTCTCGCACCGCAAATCTGCCCGATCCAGCCCCTCCCTCCACTGCACAACCGCGGCACTTTCTTCTTCTTCTTCTGCTGCTGCTGCTGCTGCCGCTGCTGCAGCCACTGCTGCTGCTGTCTGGTTGTCATGGGGGTTGGCAGGGGCGGTGGCAGCAGCAGCAGCAGCAGCAGCAGCAGCACCAGGGAAGATCCAAGGGGGATATCCAGATGGTTCGAAAATGTATGGGGAGCTCATGCGCTCAGCTGCATGGTTGGGGTTAGAGGGAGGAAGAGTGGCGGGAGCGGAGGAAGGAGGGGAAGACTTATGAGGTGCCTCCCCTTACTGGGATGTAAGGGGAGCTCATGCGCTCAGCTGTGTAATGGGGGTTAGAGGGAGCAGCGGAGCGAGGGGAGGGGGGAGGGGGAGAAGAGGGGGGAGAGGTTGTACTGAGGTCTCTTCATACTCTTCTTCCCAACACAATTCCTGCACCAGAGACGGCTGCTTCGTTTCCTGCTTTCATTCTGGCAACACACACACACACACACACACACACACACACACACACACACACACACACACACACACACACACACACACACACACACACACACACACACACACACACACACACACACACACACACACACACACACACACACACACACACACACACACACACACACACACACACACACACACACACAACACACACACACACACACACACACACACACACACACACACACACACACACACACACACACACACACACACACACACACACACACACACACACACACACACACACACACACACACACACACACACACACACACACACACACACACACACACACACACACACACACACACACACACACACACACACACACACACACACACACACACACACACACACACACACACACACACACACACACACACACACACACACACACACACACACACACACACACACACACACACACACACACACACACACACACACACACACACACACACACACACACACACACACACACACACACACACACACACACACACACACACACACACACACACACACACACACACACACACACACACACACACACACAACACACACACACACACACACACACACACACACACACACACACACACACACACACACACACACACACACACACACACACACACACACACACACACACACACACACACACACACACACACACACACACACACACACACACACACACACACACACACACACACACACACACACACACACACACACACACACACACACACACACACACACACACACACACACACACACACACACACACACACACACACACACACACACACACACACACACACACACACACACACACACACACACACACACACACACACACACACACACACACACACACACACACACACACACACACACACACACACACACACACACACACACACACACACACACACACACACACACACACACACACACACACACACACACACACACACACACACACACACACACACACACACACACACACACACACACACACACACACACACACACACACACACACACACACACACACACACACACACACACACACACACACACACACACACACACACACACACACACACACACACACACACACACACACACACACACACACACACACACACACACACACACACACACACACACACACACACACACACACACACACACACACACACACACACACACACACACACACACACACACACACACACACACACACACACACACACACACACACACACACACACACACACACACACACACACACACACACACACACACACACACACACACACACACACACACACACACACACACACACACACACACACACACACACACACACACACACACACACACACACACACACACACACACACACACACACACACACACACACACACACACACACACACACACACACACACACACACACACACACACACACACACACACACACACACACACACACACACACACACACACACACACACACACACACACACACACACACACACCACACACACACACACACACACACACACACACACACACACACACACACACACACACACACACACACACACACACACACACACACACACACACACACACACACACACACACACACACACACACACACACACACACACACACACACACACACACACACACACACACACACACACACACACACACACACACACACACACACACACACACACACACACACACACACACACACACACACACACACACACACACACACACACACACACACACACACACACACACACACACACACACACACACACACACACACACACACACACACACACACACACACACACACACACACACACACACACACACACACACACACACACACACACACACACACACACACACACACACACACACACACACACACACACACACACACACACACACACACACACACACACACACACACACACACACACACACACACACACACACACACGCACACACACACACACACACACACACACACACACACACACACACACGCACACACACACACACACACATACACACGCACACACACACACACACACAGCATTCAGATCAGATGCGATTACAGTGGATGCTCACACTCACACTCCCTCACACTAACTCACACTCCCTCACACTAACTCACACTCCCTCACACTCCCTCAGACTCCCTCAAACTCACTAACCCACTCACCATAACCATCCGCATCGTCCTCCAATTCATCCCTCCAAAGCGCCAGCTCCCCTGCTGCACGTCCCGCTCCCCGTGCCACCGCCACCGCCACCGCTGCCGCTGCTGCCGCTGCTGCTGCTGTTCCCCTCTCACTCCGCACCCCTCCGCCTCCTCCCTCCGCCATCAATCCCCCCCCCCGACTGCGCACCAGGGCCACCGCCGCCGCCGGCGCTGCTGCTGTTGTTGTGGTCGCATTTCCCTTCTGGCAGGCCCAGAATATGAGCGAGCAGCAACTTCGGGGTGACGCTGCTGCCGCTGCTGCTGCCAGAGGTGGGGCGGAAGGGGGAGGGAGGGGGGAAGAAGGGGGGGTTGGGGGGGGGGGGTGTGGCAGGCGTGGAAGCGGAAGGGGGGAGGAGGGGGAGGGATAGAAAGACGGAGGGGGGAGGGGGGGGATTGGTGGGGTGGAGGGAGAGGGGAATTGAACAGGAAAAGCTGGATTTCAGCGTCATGCAAGACTGAAATCAGAGGGTGCAAGTCGTTTGGAACTAGGCAAATCCATGGCGGAGTTCACGGCGGATTTCACGGCGGATTTCACGGCGGATTTCACGGCGGATTTCACGGCGGATTTCACGGGCATAACTTGTTCAGTGAGATCCGGGCGATCTGCGCCTCACTGCGAGCCGCTCTTGACTGGGAGCCGCGCCGCAGCGCTCACCTCTCAGCTTCGGAGCGCGAGTTGCGATTCGAGCTCCACGTGTACGCCGGCAGCACCACGGCGACGCCCACCAATACCAGCAGCGCCGTCGCCGCCAACGCGCGCCGACGCAGCATGGCCCGCCTTGCCGCGACGCGCGGACTCCCCCCTCCGCCTCCGCCTCCGCCGGATCCGCTGCCCCCCGTTCCCCTTCCGCCGCCGCCAGCCCATCCCTGCGTGGAGAGCGGCGCAATTCGGCGCGCGGGATTGGACGAGGCGGTGAACGTGCTCATAGGGGGGTGATTGGAATTGGGTTCTTAGGCGTTTAGGAACGGTATGACGGAGTTAAAAACGCGCGAGCTCCCTTATACATTATGAATATCGGGGGGGGAAGGAGGCGGAGCAGGAGCAACCCTGGCCGTCTAAGTGAGCTTGCTACGCGGGGGAGTCTCGGGCGCAGATCGCGCGGCTTATAAGCCCGAGAAGCTGAAGCAGCGGAGACCCAAGAGGCGGATCGCACGCGCGCACCAATTTAGCAGGAGAATTTGCCGATGTGCAGTGCAACTGAAATATTTCTGAAATATTCTAGTGCTAGTGGTGACTCGGAGGAGCAGGGAAGACACGTCGTAGGTGAATTCGACGAGGAAATGAAATGCGTTGGGCAGAGAAAGAACGGGTTACGGGTCACCCGCGGCAAATGGCAAATCATGAGACAAACACGCCGCTAGCCTAGTTGAGAGGCAAATGGCTCATGGCTACAGAACAGCACCTGTAAAGTGAAGTGCCCCACTGGTGATCTGCGAAGCGGGTTTTTAGATGGGGGGAAACCAAGGGTTCATCCATCATGTACAGTACATACATCCCAGCAGACATGTGTTGCGCTGAACTTCGTCATCACCTTCGTACACCGATGTGTATCTTACTCAAACGTACGAAGAGACGACTAACCCCTGGATACTCTTTTCTTGGAGGTTGTCTTGTTCAGGTCAAAACAGAGAGCATGTTCCGCCCGAGACAATAACCGCCTGTCCACCGACATTGAGTCAAAGGCGCTGTTCTTCTGGCGCACCACGGCCAAAAACGGCCATCTCGGAAGCTTCTTTCCGCATCAATGGTCCGCTTATAATGGTTCGGCTCAGGTTGGGTGAACCCCGAAGCTGGGCGCATCAACTTAACCGAGAAAACCTGTAGAACAGCACTTTTGTGACACTGTACCTTAACCGTGCGTTTGTTCTATGTTATTTCCTCGCCTGGCAAATGGTCCGCACCACTGGTGCGGCCTCTCGAGGTGGAATCACCTCGGCACCACTGGTGCGGGGCAGAAACCATCAGCCCAATTCTTTGCTCGTGGTAGGCTTGAACGCCCAAATTGCGACTCCCAGCTTTCGATGGCAATGACAATGACGCCATGGCCATGGCGGAGAGCTTTAACCCGGCCAATGTATAACAATTTCTTGCCTGATTGTGGATTTGAAGCGCTCAGACGATGCTCGGCTTTAAGCTCTATACAACGGTGCTCTTTTAGTGTTCATTACGGGAACCTAAACACCTTTTTATTGCGGTCCAGGCTATCGTCATCGCTCCTTATCAAGTCCAGCCAGGCTACAGCATTCGGCTTTTATCAGAGTTATAAGCTACTACATGGATTCCATCGTGTCCAGCAGTTCTCGCTGCCTCCTACCCGCGTCACAACCAAGGTTTTTGGTTCCCAAGTCATCAACCTGCTCCCTATAGCTCCCTCGGTTTCTGCACACTGGGATCTGCGGGGTTTCACCTACAAGCATCAACGCTATAAAACGATACACAGGAAGGTGTCTGTGCTCAGATCGGCTTGTGGATCAGCCACTGTCAGGCTGTTATCAAGCAGCCTTCATCATCGCACCATGGCAAGAGGACGGAGCAACAAGAGCAACAAGAAAAGTGCTGACAATGACCATGAGGGTGATGGCTCACCTGACTTACCGCTGAAGGGTGCTTCAGGCACTGACAAGGCTGCGCAGAGTGCTTCATCGGCTGAAGTCGATGGTCCCTTTGAGGATTTGCTGGACCTGCAGAACAACGCGGATCGCGGTGCGGATTCGGAAGAGGATCCTGGCGAGGAAGAGAATGATCCTGAGGAGTCGGCTGTTAAACCGCCGGATGACAATGGTGAAGCTGCGGGTGACGTCGCTGATGAAGGAGAAGCAAATGATGATGCTGATGCTGTTTCGACTATGGCTCCTGATGATGAGGATGATGGGTACCTGAGTGACGACTCCGACGAACGCCTGGAGCCTGATGCAATCAGTAGCGTTATTGCTCTTAAACGCTTCTCGCTAACTCTGCTCGTGCCATTCTTCAGGAAAGCTGAGGTTAATCGCGCTTCGGTGACGATCGCTGCTCTGTTGGATGACTGGAAAGAACATCTGTCACCAGACGCGAATCAGACAACTACTTACCAGGAGCTCTCGGCGACATATTTCTCCAGCAGGCGTTTCGGCCGCTTGCAAGTCACGTTCAACCACGTCAAGACGCAAACTACGTCTGGAACCACGTCGTCAACCATGAATGTCTGAACGGGGAGTGCATTGATCTCACCTGGCAACACCCGGAGAACTCACGCTTCCTGCGTGAGCGCATCCTGAATCCTACGGCTAAGGAGGTTGTCCTCAAAGGCGTTCCGGCTGAGATTACTGCGGAGCTGATTCGTCGCCTGCTGGTGGTCTCCAAGCTGGTCATCCGCGGCAAGAGTGCCTTCGCTAGCGGCTTTGGTTTTCATCGCACGGTGGATCCAGTCACGGGGATGGACACTGACCGCATCAGGGGTCTGATCGTCCCCCACGTTGCTGATGAGTACCGCTGGAGGTACTTTGTGGAAGACCCGTCAACGGCGAAGCGGTATTTGCTCCACTTCCCGTCGCTTACCTGCGATTTCTGCGGTGGTCAGCACATATCACGTTACCATGATCACTACATCGCGCCGCGCCAAGAGAGTTTCACCAACTGGAACCTGACGGTCAAAAAGGTTCATGAGTTCAACGGTACAGGAAACGTTTATACTCACCCGCAGATGCCGTTGTCCTTACCGTTATCTTTGCTTTACTTACCACTTACTGACACACACCTGCCTACCTCTCCTCGCAGCCGCGTCTCTGAAAGCCTCAAACCTCCTGAAAAGGATCATGAAGGACCCTGCTGGTGTGCTAACCTCCACCGGCGTCTCGCGGGAGGAATGGGTCTGCGTGCAAACGGCATGCGAGAAGGCGCAGGGGAACCGATTCGAGCAGGCGGCTGCTCATATCGCATCTGCCAGGCACAGAGGGGGTCTGCGGAAGGAAGGCTCTGCCACTCGTGTCAGCAAGCCCTCACAGAAGCTACTCGCTTTCAAGAAGGAGTACATCGTGAAGCCAGCAAAGCAGTGATTGGTGGCTCAGTTACGGATGCCTCCGTTTGGGGGGGTGATGCAGCAGCAAAGGCAGTTGTGGTAGCTGGATGTGTAGTTGGTGCAATGTTATCTTTTGCTGTAGCAGGCTGTATCGTTGCAATGAAGCTCAATCGCCCGAGGATGCTGTGGGGCTTAACGAAGGTGGTTATTGGATAAGTACAACAACCTCACCATCCTCGAGCTCAACATCAACGGGCTCGGCAGTAGCGGGAAGCAGGAACGATGCGGAAATTGGATACGGAAAGCAGCAAACATCGTGGTACTTACAGACACTCGTGTAGCAGCTGACCATAATTTCTGGACACAAGTCAGATCGGAGGCGCAGGTGGTGGTTGGTCCATCACAGAGAGCTGGAGGTGTGGTGGTCTTGGGTTTCCTGCAAGGCATGAGATTTACGAACGTCGTTAAGCATGAGTCAGGTCGGCTGCTGAGCCTGCTAGTAACCTGGCGTGACCTACGGTGCAGAATCGTAGCAGCTTACTTTCCTGCACAGGCTGCTAATAGGGGGGTTTTCTTCAGGGATGTTTTAATGCCGTTTGTGCAGAGTCTGTCCATGGCGCCTCACACGGTTATGCTCGGCGACTTAAACATCGTAGCGGACCCGGAGTTGGATAAATCATCAAAGCTGGGTACTCCGGCGGAGAATAGGAGACTCTTGCAGATCTGCTCAAGATGGGATTTACAAGATGCCTTCCGCAGCCTACACCCATCCCGCAAGGAGTACACGTTCTTCTCCAGATCTGCAAGGACGAGTACAAGGATAGACAGAGTGTTAGTCTCCCACTCACTACTCGGTTGCGTGGTGGAGGCGAAGCATAAGATAGTACCATACGGTCTCACGGATCACTGGTTTGCGGTGTCGGTGTCACTTAAGTCGGCGACGGCGTGTGGTAATGACCCAGGGCTGTGGAGACTGCCAGCATCCCAGTCGGGAGGGGAGGGGACCAAGAAGATTATATCGGCGGTGTTGGAGGCACAAGCGAGTCACCCAGCCGGGAGTCTGGAGAGACTTATGGTGAATCTGCGGGCAAGCATGAGAGCTCACGTGGCGGAGGAGAGGAAAAGGGTTAAAGCGACTATGGTGCATCTGGAGCAGAAGGTGGAGAACCTTCGGTGGAGAGTGATGTGTGATCCGTCATCGCAAGAGTTGTACGAGGAGTTGATCAAGTGCGAAGCGGCTCTTAAGCTTTACCAGGATAGTGTCAAGGAACGCCTACAGGCCATGACGGGGTTGCTGGCAGAAGTGGCGGGGGAGACGCCGTCAGGATTCTTGTCAGGGCTGGTAAAGTCGAGGAAAACAAAGACGGAGATTAGTGAGCTGCTGTTTAAGGGCATACAAAGGAAGGGTGCAAGCGCGGTGTTGCAGGCGGCGTCTGAGTACTTCCGTGACGCTTACGCGGACCTGCCTTCACAGCCCACCAGGGAACCATGGCCGATTGAGGAGGGGAGGCGACTCCTGGAGAGCGACCGTCTGCAACTCGGTAACGAGTGGTCAGAGCAGGAGGTGAAGGCAGCGCTCAAGGGTCTTCCGGTGGGGAAAGCCCCGGGGCAAGATGGCTTGCCGAAGGAGTTCTTCGAGCGAAACTGGGTGCTCCTGGGGCCAGCGGTGATGAAGGAGGTCAGAGAGTTTGAGACGTCGGCGACGCTCTCCGAGTCCTTCATGACCGCGGTCACCATCCTGCTGCACAAGAAGGGCGACAGGGACAGCTTAGGCAATTATCGGCCGATTACGTTGCTGAGTTTCTTCTACAAACTGCTGGCGAAGGTGCTAGCGAACAGGATGAAGCTGGCCTTACCGTGGGTGATATCGGAGAATCAATTTGGCTTTCTTCCGGGAAGAAGCCTGGCGGAGGCAGTATCGCTGGTGGC